ACAAATAGGCAAAGCGGTAAATAAATGTGCCTGCAAATTCTACCTCTTGGTCTAATCTGCTCTTATCAGAGGTGAAGTCAGATGGGGAGCCTAAAACAGGTCCCACTTCATCCCAAGAGTCACCTCTTTGAGGACTGACCCCCTGGTCCTCAGTATCAGTTATCCTTTTCAGGGTTTGGAGCAGGAACCTCAGGAGGGCCTGGTGATGGGTGGGGGAGGGCCAGTGCCACTGGGCAGGAGGGGCCCATGAGGCTCCATCACCCCAACTCCATGGCTTCCACCGAGCAGGATGCCCTGGGAGGGAACAGCCGGACAGTGATGATCGCCCACATTAGCCCAGCCAGCACCTGCTTTGAGGAGTCACGGACCACCCTGCTCTACGCCTACAGGGCGAAGAACATCAAGACCAGGGTAAGCCACTTGCTCGCTTAATGACTCACTCATTCACTCGCCCACTCATTCATTTGCTCATTCACTCATTCACTCACTCATTCACTCATTCATTTGCTTACCCACTCACTCATCACTCATTCATTCGCTCACTCATTTGCTCACTCACTCTCTTGCTCACTTGCCCACTCCTGGGTGGCCGTATGGGGGTGGCTGCCAAATACAGACCCTGAAGCTTGTCGGCATCTGTTTGCCTCCCATGCTGCTGTTCCTAGCTGGGTGACCTTGGATAAGTTTATTAACCCCTCTGTGCCCCACTTTCATCCTCTCTGAGGCGGGGAGGATGAAAATAATAGCAAACCATAAAGCACGATCTATGTACCAACATCTGCATTAGTTTTCTGTGGCTATGGTAACAAGTTACTATGATCGAGGGACTTAAAACAGCAGAAAACTATTCTCTCATAGGCCAGAAGTCTGAGATCCAGGAGTCAGCAGGTCCACGCTCCCTGTGGAGGGTCTAGGGTAGTATCTTCCTGCCTCTTCCAGCCTCAGCCGGCTCCAGGCCTTCCTTGGCTTGCAGCTGCATCGCTCCGATCTCTGCCTCATCTTTATAAGGCCTTCCCCTCTTCTCTTGGTTTCTTCCCTTCTCTTCTAAGAACCCACGGCATTGGATTTAGGGCCTACCCTAATCCAGGATGATCTCAATTCAAGGTCCCTAATTTAAT